ATGTTTCAACATTTTTAATTATTTTATCATTATGAAATTCAACTAATTCAGTTGGCTAATAAATTAATCAAATCTAAACATATACAATTAACTGTCCAATTATTAATATTGATTAAGTTTATAAATAATAATATTTAACATTTACACACAGGATTCTACCATGTATATAATTTTTATATGGTATAGTCATGTGCTATGACAATTAAAGAAAAAAACCCAATGAATTTCAGTAGTTTAGATCATGAGTCGATGGAAGCTAGATCACCGTGAAAAACCTGGAATCACTGGATGGCCGTTTCGTCCTAGTGTGGGACTCTTCAGAAGTGCGCATCCACGATTTCGTCTCGCGTGTGAGTGATTAACCATTAAGTCACTGAGCCGCCCAGCATTCAACGGTGCTAATGTTTAACTTCAACTAATCCATGTTGGTCTAGCTTCAAATGACTCATGATCTCAACTATTAAAATTACTATAATATCTACAAAACCCCTTCTGAAACTAATGAATTGTTGAATAACTCTTTTGATTTAACCTATTACATCCAGTATAAGTTTTAATTACTTATTGTCAAGTTGAATGCTAAATAAAGCATTGATAATGATGTCAACACATCACAGATTACTATATTACATTAAAAACGGACAAAAGATAAACTCTACCATTATATGTATTTGTTTTTGTGTGTGTTAAATCCATGAGCCTAATTGTATCAGTTCGACCACAGCTTTATTGTTATTTATTAAATTTTTAACTGAATCTTAACCAATTTTAAAACTGTAATTTTTAGATTGTGTAATTATTTATTATTGATGGCTGTCAATCGGTGGTTGTACAACTTAAAATCAATAGTGTATCTAATAGCAGGTATATGTGATTTGGAAATAACATTTTTGAAATGAGTAATGTTTGATCTATTTGTGTTCCGACTGGTAAATCCTGAAGCCTACAAAGTCAAATATCATCATGAACAGTGGGTTCGTGAATTGCGTTCGCGCATGTTATACTAGCCTTACATCTTTGTGAATCGAAACCAGTGTTGAAAAGGTTCTCTGATAGTACAATTAGGACATTCTTAATGTACGTTTCTTAATCATGTTGAAAACATTACTTCATCGGTATCTCCGTTAAACAGTGCATTTTTTAAAAATTAAACGAGCTACAGTATCCTATCACTTAACAATTAATAAATTTGAATTGTAAAATCACTTCGATAAGTGAATCATTTATTTCCCCTTCATTATAACAATAATCTCAAATTTCACCCCATAATTCAATCCATTGTTTTAGATGTTCAAGATTTAATGATTTTTTCCACTCAGTCCAGTCTGTGGTGGATAGGTACCTTCCTGACCTATATAAGTAGGATATATCGCCAGTCTGAAGTATAATGCTTAGCAGAAGAATATTTAAATAAAGAAAGTCCGAAAGCAATTGAAATAACAACAGAATTAGAGGAATAATGGAGTATATAAAGGTCAACGCAAAGATGATGTGCAAATGATGTATTTGATCTATGATTTTCAAATTTTATTAACCATCCGTGTGATTTTGCATTGGTTCATATATTGGTTTTCTCTGTCTGAGTTTTCGTTCACTACAATGGGTATCACTGTTTAAAAGGAGGCGGACACTGGATATAGATTACCTGGCAAGTCGACGGATTTACAGAAACCAGCGTGTCGATGGATTTGAAATTTAGACGGAAAGCGTGGCACAGACTGCGACAAAAATGAATGTCATGTCGAGCTGAAAATTCATTGAAAAGGAAGGATATTTTAATGCAGTTTCTGTCTCCTCTGTACCCTAAATATCCGATTTCTTTATTGATCCGACCTAAAACCTTCATGTTTTGTAGCGAATGTTCTCTTTAGTGCTTTAAGTTGCTTTTCGATACTTTACATTACCAACTTTAGTCAATTTACAATAAATCGCAATTATTATCTATTGTTACCTGTCATGACTTTCATATTTCTAAAGTCCGGTTGTCCAAAAGAAATAAATATATTCCATTGGTTTGTTAACCTAAATATTGTTTAATCAACCAGAAAAATAGTAAAAACGCGACTATCATAATCACTTGTTCGTTCTCTGCAACTAATAATTAACTAATTAATATCAAATAATAGTCAACTAGTCAATGATTATACTCTCAACTTTATACAACGTCAGATTCCATACTTGTTAACCATTCAAGAGAATACTTTGCTTCAATCTTTCAGTTCAGTTTCTAGTAATATTTTATGAATCTTTTGTCTCAGTTAGTGTATCATTAACATAATATACTCTACAATTGTTATTAGTTTTTCATAAACCTAAGTATATTTTCATTAACAGATCATTCAGATGTTACATTTAATTAAGAACAATTTTCAATGTCTTGTCTACTGAACACATTGAAAGTGTATTTATTAGTACAGTTGAATTGACAGTTCGATTTTATTGTATGAGAAAAATATAGAAAGTAAAATTTTGTTTTTAATAACAGTTTCATTCAACAACTTTCTCTTTGAGAGCAAGCAGTAAGAATAAAGTAAATCACAGTAACTTGAATCGTTTTAATGTAAGACATTTTATTTAAGAATACAAGTTGACTACATATGAAAATAATAATAATACAGGAGGTTAGTGACGGCTCGGATAGCTCAGTGGTAACGTCTCTGACTGTGAAGCTGTGTGACACTAGATCGAATCCGCCAGGGAGCACTAGTTCCTTCAAGATTACAGGTACACCTTGCTGACGAGTGCCAAGTAGCACGAAACCCGGGTCCAGGGTTTCTTGTTGACTACCTCTAATCACCATCTAAATCTCAATACATAGTGCCCGCAGTGTCGAGTCACCTAGACTGGTGGCCACATTGCAACATGATCGGCAGCATGCGATCTGCACTAATAAGGACTAGACAAGCATGACATTGATCACCACCCAGTGATCAATCAATTGTGAAATAATACAAGAAGTGATTTAATTAATCTAATAAAGTGATGAAACGATACTATTGATTGATTGAATGATATAAAACTGATTTTTAGGAGAAGATACTATTAAGAACATTTTATACAATGATAACATTGATTCACAATACGTGATAATTCATTCTTAAGGCAGAAATAGAAGTCAATAAGTTTCATTATTTGTTAAGGTTTAGAAGGAATTTATATCCTCACGCTTTCCATGATAATGGTATAAGTGGAGGAGTATTTTTTCAAAAATTCCACAAGCATAGCTACTAGCAAATGTAATTTTATACAGTGTTAAATTAAACTATAGGTAATAATGATGTGTGCTTGGAGTTTGACCGAAAAATCTACAGTTTGTTGAAGTGTGACTATTTACTAGTTTTGAGAACTAGGATTGACAAATATTTTAAATAAATGTTTATTTAGTTGCTAGAAAATTTTTTGAGATTTTTGTAAGAAAGTCATGAACTATATTCGTAACACATTTCCCTTTAAATTAATTATGTTACTTGTACTCTGTAATTATTGGTTTCACATTTTTTTGTAGAAACAAAAATGAGAAGCCATATTTTGCAAAAAAGATTAATGAATAGTTACCCTAAAGACATATTTCATACTGTTAGTAAATGATCTTTTTGCCAATTAAGAAAGTATATATTCATGGAGAACAGATCTAAAACAGTTAGAAATTTCAAATAATATATCAGTTGTATGTATAGAATAACTGATAAGTAAGTTAATATTTCTTAATTATATTAGTCAGTATTTTCATACACTATAGATTAAACAAAGAAATCAGTTATCACATATCTGGGCTTCTAAAATCGCCTTAACTAAAAGATAATTGTGATGATAACTAAAAATCTAAAATAAACACAAATGATCTATGACCCGTTAAGTTATAAACAATCATGCTATAAAGATTCCTAGAAGTTATTCCAACTGTGAACCATTAGTACCAAATATTATAGGGAGGTAAATTAACAATAGTTTTTTAAAAATAGGTTTGTATTTCATTGATAAATCATAATGAGTAGTTTTGGATGAAGAGTTGGAAAAAATATTTGAATGTCGAATTGACTCTTTTACTGTAATCTCAGCTGTTTCAATGATAAAATACTATTTCAACTAATACAACTATATATTATATTGATAGGAATTCATCAACTATTGAAATTATGACTAATTTGTAAGCATAGTGTAAATTATTAGATAAAAATTTGAAGCAATCAAAAATAATACATGAATTATTTAATACTATTCTGTTATAACTTTGTAATATCTTTCGACAATACTTAGTATTAGAACTGAGTAAACAATTTAAATACGAAGTAACTAAAGTGAACACGTTATATATATGAACAAATTTTACATAAATATAAGAATGCAAATAAATCACATTTATTTCTATGTGTGACTTGAGAATGTCAAGGGGGGAAATATAAGCATATATCATTAGTTGGTATTTTATAGATTACATAATTCATTTTTAGTTTATACATTATACACACAATATTTATAGATTAACGATTGAAATTTTCCCTGTTGTATTAGATTACAATCGAATAGTTTCGACCTTATTTCTATCTACTTTTTGAATTATTCATCAAAAATTCATGATAGAAACTAAATAATAATAATATTATATGTACGTTCCCACTTATTTTTCATTTACTCAACATCCAGTATGTGGAGATATAAGTCGAGAGAGTAATAAACATCAACAAATCGCCATTATACACGTACATTTTTTCTCCCACTACAGTAATAATTTATTATACAGTCAGTTGATTGTAAACAGTGAAACATGAAAAACAACTATGGCCTAATAAATTAAGATTTATTGTCGTATTTGTATATATATATACTACATAATACTAAAAATTGCACGTTATTACATAAGCCATGGAAAATACATTTGTACACTCTTCACTGAACTGAATATCATCTAAGAAATAATAATGTAACTATATTCATTCACTTTTGAAAACAGTAAAAATAAGTAATACTTAGAAAGAAAAACACAATATATGCAAACTTACCGACAATTATATAGGCTATTATGAACCATGTAAGTAGTAGTAATGAATTCATTGTCCTTGATTCAGTTTTAGTCCATTTAGCACAAATTTTTATCGATACATAAATTATGTCTCTTTTGCACAAATGATTATACTAATGATAATAATAATAATAATAATAATAATATGCAAATATGTATAATATGAAGATAGTTTGTTTCAGGTCATATAAACTGTGTATTATTGAATAGCATATTATAATCAAATATTAATAGTGATGATAAAATATCTAAATATTTATTGTATAGGCATATCAACTAGAAAACAACGTGTTATATTCTGTTACTTGATATAAATATGTAAGTATGTATAAATAGATATGCATAGATACATAAATTATATGTTTAACTAGTATAAATATAGGGATGATATATGTGTATTTGACATGTTTGGTTGGTGGTTATAGCCAGACAGACAGGTATAATAAATATCTATGACCTTGTGATCAGAAGTGTATACGTTCAATCTTCAATGGTATTATCATTATTTAAATTTTTATGTAAAAGATATTAACTTTAAAAGAAAAATGAGAAGAACTATATATATTGCCTTTTTCTTCCATTTTGTTCTAACAAAGGAATTCAAGACAGACAGATTTTTTTTTTTGGGGGGGGTATAATTCAAAATTAAGTTTTTTCCCGAAATTAATATTTATCATGATGACTCAAAATGTAATTTGTAATTGACATAAAATTTATTAACCAATCAAATTATGATTAAGGTTAGATATTATAGGCTTGGCCTTAAAAAAATAATGGTAGTCTAGACTATTTGAACTTAATTTTTTTTTCTTATCAATCCAGTGACCTGAAAAAAGAGACGAAATTAAAATTCATTAGAGGGAAATTACTCGAGATTGTCTTTATATTTTTTATTAACATAGACAAGATTTTTTTTAAAATGTTATATACGCTAATCGATATAAGGAATGATTGTCATAAATAACTGTATGGTGTTTTGATTCAACTAAGAGAGTATGAATAGATGCTGAAAAGTTTTGTACAAGAAGTTATTTTTGCATTAAACATGAATTATTCGATATATCTCTCAGTTAGACAACTTTGACCTTCACTTTTATCTTTGAAAAGTACTATGTGTTCTATTGGTTACTGGCGACTGTTTTAGTCAACAATAAAATATCAGAAGGGTTTTTTGTGGATATTGTAGTAATTTCAATGGTTAAGATCATGAGTCAATTAAAGCTAGATCACCATGGAAAACCAGTCCAGTGCTTCAAGGTTTTCCTCGGTGGTCTAGCTTCTATTGACTCATGATCTCAAATCTTGAAAATAAATTATCATTCCAGAGGTGAGACGTTTGCACGTGAGACCGAAGGTCTTAAGTTCGAATCTCGCGAGCGTGATCGTGGATGCGTACTGTTGAGAGGTCCCATAATAGGACGAAACGGCTATTCAGTGCTCCCAGGGTTTCCAATGTTGCTCTAATACCAATCGATTCATTATCTCAATGCAAAAGGAGAATTGGTTTCCGGTATACGATGAAATATTTATACTTTAATTTGAAACAATTTGAATATGTGATAGTAAGTCATTAACTATTTGTTTATTTTTAAGTAGTAAATTTTTGTGAAAAATTTACTTTTTCATGGTATTTGTCATAAAATAGATAAACTATTCGTTATTATGAAGAAGCTCTGAATTAAGTGTTAATATTCTCGAATGATATAATAATTTATTCATTCATATTTACTTACTTAAACCTGTTACTTCTCGTTGAGGAGCATAGGTCACTCACCAACGTTCTCCATCCAACTCTGTTCTGGGCAATCCTTTCCAGTTGTTTCTAATTGCTGTTTATTCATTCAACTAATTGATAATGTTTGTTTTAAATTGTTTAAAGATTTTTTGTTTTGTTTAATTTATCAATGATGAGTGATTTTCTTTTCGTCCTGTAAAGATTTATAATTAACTACTTTATTACAAAAGATGTTACATTCCTTGACTGTTTACTTTTGAAGTAGATGTGATTAGTACTGAAAACATTGGTGTGATTGAAAATTCATTCACCTATAAGTAAGATGAATAGAAATTTTGTAACTAATGCATAGATTTGTTTCTACTCATAATTTGACATAAATGATGTACATTTGTTTTGTTGGTTTCATTAAAATAAAATAATAAACTATTGAATAATTGCCTGATTTGTTTTGGATATAACTATTTGTTTATTTTATTCTACATTGATCTTTGAGCAGATACATTACTCTAGAATGTATAGAAAAATTATTAATGATAAAGTAATTACACTTCTAATCAATCAATCTTCCATTCATACTGAATGTTATGAAATAAAGGGGATTTATAAAATACACCTAGGTTCTCTTTACATGGTCAGAATTATGTCTAATAGATCAGTTATAATTTGAATGATATTATGATCTGAACTTTGACAAATGAAATGTAATCTGATTTATTCATCTTTAAATCTAAAACCTTCAATGATTAATTTTTTTAGTCGTTCTATTTTTAATCTTACATTTTGTATACCATCTAAATTATCTACACATTATATGTGGTGATTCCTGTTGTAGAGTCTGAAGTAGTTGAATTCATTATTATATGGGTCAATGAGTGTACATTAAGGACGAGTAAATTTAACAAAACAGCCATTCAATTCTCTTTGATTTTCGACATTTATGCATAACACTACATTAAAAAAAGAGTTTCTATGGAAAATAGTAATTAAAGTTTGGTCATTTTCTTTATATAAAAACCTAATATGTCAAGCAAATGATGACTGTACATATAAACATTCAATATTGATTTTTACTCATAAAATGTTATAACAGGCTATTGACCAGAAACAGGGATCAGTTTCATTTTAAGACATGAAACACATTTCGAATTCAGCTAGTAAATACAATTATCTACCCCATTCTTTGTGTGCTATTAAAATAATAACTCATAAACCAGTTGCCAGGGCGACGAAGTTTTTATTGAATGACTTACAATTGTAACAACTGCTGTATGTATTTGCTTAATTCTATACAACTTCATGGGTAAGGTTTAAGTGAGTAAATTTACTCGGTTTGTGAATGGTTTGCAATTATTTTTTACATAAATCATCCTACTTATTTTAAATAGCAACTTAGTTGTGATATAGCTCATTTTTAGTCATAATACCAACATTTTTAATAACAGGTTTATCTTCATCGATGTTACTGTTTGATAGTTGTTCTATATCGTGAATTGATTAAAGCTAAAAATGTGAACTGTTGAATTCCATTTCCTCAGTCTAAAATTTAACTTAACAGCTGAGAGGTACAACAGTTTTGGTTTCGATTCCTATTGCGATTATCTGTTTACACTATAGATGAGTAAAATAACCTTTAATATTTCTTGATTTTCAGTGCTATTCCAACTTTATTCACTTCATAATGAATATCACTTAAGAGAACTAACTGATTTCCTCGATTTATATAGTCAACTCTTATATGCTACTATTCTTAATATAACGAAGATTGTTTATACAGTTTTCAACTGAATCGAAAGTAAGTAAACAATAAACACTTAAAGTAAATAGAAATTCGAAAAAACCCATCAAAAACATCACTTAAAATAAAAATATAAAAATAACAATAAAAATCATAAAACTATTTTATTTACGAGTATGTTCAATTAAACTAATCCAAGTTTATAAAAAAATTGTAAACACTAGAGATGTAATAAAAAAAGAAGTTTTATGATACATTCTAGTTGGTTGTTTTCATTCATCAATGATTATTTCTATCTATACTAATATGAATAAAAATGTATTTCACTGGTTGAAGTCATGAGTCAATTGAAGCTAGACCACCATGGAAAACCTGGAAGCACTGGACGGCCATTTTGTCCTAGTATGGGACTCCCCAGCAGTGCGCATTCACGATCCCGTTTCGCGAGATTCAAACCCAGAACCTATGAGTCTCGCGCAAAGCGCTTAACCAACTAAATCAGTGAGCCGGCATCCAACAAAACTGATAGGTCCTGGGTTCGAATCTCGCGAGGGTCGGGATCGTGGATGAGCACTGCTGAGGAATCCCATACTATGACGAAACGGCCATCCAGTGCTTCCAGGTTTTCCATGGTGGTCTAGCTTCAATTGACTCACGATTTTAATCTGTGAAATTTTTAAAAATCTCCGCAAAACCCATTTTGATAAAAATGTATTTATTCAACGATTTTGAAATCCGTTTATTTAGGATTTCAGCAGCCATGTCTCCTTTAAATTTCATAGTCATAAACTGAGTTTTCTTCTGTACTGTCAATGCCTTGTCATGACGTCAAGGTATAAAGTTGCTATCAATGAATCTCGATGGATAACCATTTCTGATGAGCATAGACAGTATAGAGGAAATTTCTGTTCATGAAAATGTACTTACTTTAAATTTAATGCAAAATGGCGGAATTTATATTTTGAAACAGTCTACAGTTAATTATGTAATATTAAACTTTCTAAGAATACTTGTCTGTTAAAATGCACATGACTGGAGATATTATTTCTTGAAGAGTAAAATGCAATAGAAAACTTGTGTTTATGCCTTCTAGTAGATTATCTCCAAACATTTAAAATCAGGAAATGTTCAACAAAATACCGAATTGGTGTCAAGATCAATGTGATTCCAGTGACTTAATGGTAGGATAGTGACCACTATCATCCTGAATGATATGCAACATCTCACAGTACACTAACAGAAATTACGATAGCGATGAGTACATGATGAACGACTAAGTAGAGAAGATTTATAGTTCACGCAGATGATTTCAGTCGACCAACACCAAGGTCAGAATCTTCAATACAAATGTCACGACAGTTCTACTGTATGGGGCGGAAATGTGAAGAACTACGAAATCCAGAAGATACAAGTGTTTATCAACAGTTGTCTACGCAAAATACTTCGGATCTATTGGTCAGACACCATCAGCAACAACCTACTATGAGAGAGAACAAACCACATCTCAGCGGAGGAAGAAATCTGGAAAAATTGCTGGACTGGATAGGACACACATTGAG